CTCTGCAATGCAGTGGGGCTGCTCCTCATGCACCTCAGCACTCTGTTTGCCATTCCCATTGAATTATACTGCTCTTGCATGACAGACACTTCAGTGAGGTGTATAATATTCCTGTGGGATTGGATCTCCTGCACCCAACAGCAGAGCCATTCCTGGATACACCATTGTAGGTACTTGGTAATAGGATCTGTTATCAAGGTCACCCCAGAAGTCACCCTAACCACTTCTGATCTCAAGACAAAAACACCCTGGAGAATTTTGCTTTTTATTGTCAGGTTTTTTTAGCAGCACTCTTTTGGGAACAAAATCACCAGAGTCACCAGGATTTTTATTTTGCAGCAGTCATTTTCCATGTGGAAACCAGAGCACTAGCAAGGCCATCCCCACAGTGCAGTGGGGAACTGGTCCCTGCAGCTTCAGGCAGCCCCTATGGAAGGGACTGCAAGGAAAAGACTTCAGGTCACTGAGATCTACTCATGCCTTATGTCTGTTTGGGAAATACAGAAATTCAAAAGCAAGGGCTGGTAAGTTAAAGCCATGGGGGTAGTCTCTGGGTATCTTAGAAGTTCTGAGACAACCCAATGCTGGTTGCAGAGTGATGACTTTCCTGTAAGAACCAATAAATCAAGGTCTAGTTTCAACTCTTTGCAAGACCACCTATGATTTCAAGTCCCAAGTGGATGAGCATCACTCTTTCCATACATTCTTTAGATAATTAGGCTAAACCAGCCATTATTTCTTCACACCAATTTAAGAATTATGACTGCTGGTACATTTTGTTTTGTCTCCTGTTTCTGCTGACAAACTCAAATAGCCAGAGGAGAACAGCTCTACCAAAGAGATTATTGAGAAATGTTCTCACTCAAGCTTTGCCCATAAAAATGTGTATTTTCAGGGACTCTCTCTCATTCACAGAGCCAACAGATGCCTTCACACACAAGCAACTGAACACTATGGTTTAGGATAATGTTCCTTCACCCTCAAGTGTCTTGTCCCACCCTAGGTAAACCAAAATGTTTGTTGTGGCTTAATCTGGATGACTGGTGCAAAATGACTTGTCACATGGCAGGAAGGCTCAGTGGCTCCTCTCCTCCATCTTCCTTCCAGCATCCAAAGTTACAGTTAAACTTTGCTGTCTCCAAGCCCTTGGCCTCTCTAAAGGTGCACACACGCACTTATTAACCTGCCACAAATGCATAGACATTCCTATTGCTTTCTTGCAAAAACTGTGGAAAATCCAAATCCAAAGCCAAATTATTACTCCACCAACAGTCACCTTTGAAGGAATGTCAGATCGCATTATGTGAATGAGTTTGGAGGTGATCCCTAAATTGCTGGCATTTGGGTGAAGGGGAAGGGAAGTCCTACACTTTGGCTGCATCTTCAACACAGGTTTTTCTCCTCCTCACTCTGTTTTCCTGGAGTTCTGTCACCACTGGGAGAACAGCTTTTGCTGTTCAGAAGCTCTGGATGACCTGTCCAACATTTATGATCTATAGGTTTCTTTTGAAAACCAAGAGCAAGATTTTCAGTAGCTTTTAGGCATTTAAAAATGCTGGGGGTTTCCTAGTGAGGTCTTCAAACTAGAGTTGTGCACCCAGGCATTCAGAAACAAACTGCAAGGCAGAAAAAACACACCTACAGGGGTACATAATTTTAGAGGAGCTGAATGGGATGAGAGGCAATGAGCAGAAACTCTGAAGGACTATCCCTGACATCCTCATGCTTCTGGGCAGGCTTTCCCTGTAGTGATGGTATCTGACAGCAATAATCCAGCAGCAGCACACATGACTCTACCACATTTCTCATCAAGACTAATTTTGTCCGATCCCTCCTTCCTTTGGGAGCAGGGAGAGACAAGCTGGGCAGACGGTACCAAACACAGGCTTGCATCTCCAGTACCCGCGGCAGATCCCAAGCCCCAGACAGCTCACGAGGCCACGGGGGAGGCTCTGACCTCCTCCCACAAAGATGTCAGCCAAGTCCCATCTAGCCCAAGGTTCTTCAGTAAATAAACCCCCACCTTCCACCTCAGCTACTCACAGGCACCAGCCCCAGCCAAAATCAATAGATGAGAAGCAATCTGTCATTTCCAGTCCGCACTGGTTGGGTTATGGATGAGTCAAAAAACACTACAGGAAACACAGATGTGGTGAGATCACCTCCTTCTCTGGAGCCTTCCTATCTCTGCAAGTCTTGCCTGATCTCCCTCAAAATTTCCGTGTGCGTACAGAGGACAATCTTGTGTACCTCGTGCCTGCTCCAGTGCAGGTGTGTTGTGTGACGCTTGGCAGGGCCAGGCCAGCCTGGCACGAGCAGCAGGAAGCCGAGTTCACCCTGAGCTGCAGGCAGGCTGGTGTCTCCCCATAGGAAAGTTTTTTCAATTAATTCAAATACCTCCCACTCACACACAAAGCCCATGTTTTGTAATAAAAACAAGGAGAAAATCTCATCCAAAGGAATTTTACCTATTTCCCCCCGCTACTTATTCCACTGAAGTTCTTTTCTAAAAAAACAATTCCACCCCACCAAAACTGACCACCAGAACAACAAAGTAGCCAAGATGCTAATTTAATAACCTCATTCTTCAAAATCCACCTTGCTGTTCATACTAGTAGGTTTCAAAATCAGTCCTATATCATCCAGTATCTTATAATTTTTTTAAAGGTTTCACTGCATTTCTCCCTTCACAGATAATGTTTTCCCTTTGAGAGAGATGCAGAGAATACTGCAAATTTTCCAGTAACTGTGATTTTCCCTGCAAACTGGGGCAGGCATTACCCTATTCAGCTACAGAGAGGCAAAGGTGTTTCAAGTTACTCCTTCTGTACAGAAAGGAGAAGGAGGGCCAAGAAAGAAAAGGGGGACATTCCCCTGCCTCCCCCATTCCTCCCCCACAAAAAACAAAGGTTGCTTAGGGTCCATGTGCCCAGATGAAGCTGCAGTGGGTTGGTTCAGTCACCACACCCCAGCCAAGCCACAATAACTGATCGTGCACAGGTTGTTCTCCCACTCCAAAGCTCACCATTGAGCTTTAAGCAGAAATACCATGTCCCAAGGCCCTAATCCTTTAGCTCACAGCAGCACAGCCAGCTGTGGGCTAAAAGCCACGTTAAACTCACTGGAAGAGAAGCATTTGCTGAAATGCTTTGTTGAACAAGGATGAACGACTGTGCTTGGGCTTTAGCTACACTTACAAACTCCTGTACATCTTGGCTCTGGTTTTCTTTGCCACATGGCAGCTGGTTATGTCCAAGAATTTCTTGGGAGGGAAAGTGACTGTAGAAACTCAGCTGTGCAACATATGCTCCATCTAGTGTTTATTCATAGTATTTCATGTTCTTAAAAGGTTTGATTTGCTGTTAACACGTATTTACATCTTTTCTGTAGTTCATATGTCTATATATGATCATTGTTGAAAATAACCTTCTACTTGTTTCAACTACACCATTTAGATCTAGCCTCCACTTACACCTTCAGTAATGATTATACAATGATTTCTATTTAGAGATTAAATCTCATAGAGCAAAATTAAGGGAAAATGTTTTAAAAGAGCAACAAGTGTTTCCCCAGGTGCTCTGATAACACAAAGTGAATGGAAAACTTCAAGCAGGGGCAAAACATAAAACCTGGAGGATACATACCCCATAAAAGATATTTCCCAGACATGGGAACATATGCTGAGCCCCTTTGCCACAGACTGAGGTACTTTTTTGCCCTCTATGTCGAGCTAGGCTGCTGGGGAAGGACAGGAAAATAAGCAAGTGGCACAAAGCACTGGCTGCCTCTTCAGGCCACCCTCATCTCACCAGAGCACAACAGCTGCTGGGAGCAAGCCCTGACAAGCAGTTTGGCAAAGCTCTGAAGAAGAGATGAGCTGGAAATGCATGGGGAATGCACAAATGACATGGAAATGCACCAAGGTTGGGTCCAAGGCATTTTTGCATGGTAGAGAAAAGGGACAGTGGCAACAATCATCAGGCTTGGCAAGTGCCATGTGTATTTCCATGTGGAAAGGGCTGGACTTGCATGTCAGATTTAGCTGTGGGACAAAATGCTCCTACACAGTCTCTTTTTACCACATGCTGTCCCCTAATTTGCATTACTTGAGGGAGTTCCCAGTTCCTAATTTGCTGCTCAGGTGATGGCAATGCCCTTAACTGCAAAAAGAAAAGCCAACAGCAGGTGGGACAAGAAGTCCCAAGCTAACATTTTGATATAGAAGAAAAACAAAGAAAGCTCAACCCCATTCTGTTGTATTAGCAGGACTGGTGAGGTGCTGGGATGGGCTACCTTGCAATGAGCCAGGATCTGCAGTGGGGAGACCTTTAGAAAATAGTTGAATGTTCCCAGAGAAAGGCTTGGGTTGGCTGAGCCCACCTAGAGCAGTGGTGGCCTCAGCAGGCCCACTTCTGGAAGGAGGTGGCTGAGAGGATCCCAACCCAGCTAAGAGGAGAGCTGGCAAGGAGCTGTGATACAGACAGCCCTTGGACACTGCAGCCACAGGGCACAATCCCAGGCACAGATTTGAGCTCAGAAATAGCTTTCATTGCTGTGGAAAGCAGAAGGGCACTGACAATATAGCTTCCTCGGGCAGAATGCATTTAGGAGATCCCCACATCCCCTGCCTGCTCTTGCCCTGTGCCACAGCTTGCAGCAAAGCTCCCCAAAGCCGTGCTGTGGCACTGACACAGGTGAGAAGGCAGCAAACTGGGAGCAGGTCCCTGTGTGGAATAACCACAGAGGGCACCTCTAGGGCGGCATAAAACTAAAACTAACTAAATGAATAATGCTGTAGTAGTACTGCTTGAGTAGAGCCTCCAATAAACCAGATACAGGCCTGCTGCTGGATATCCTCCAGGGCAGCACACAAACCAGGGCCACTCTGCAGAGATTTAGGACCAGTTTGCTGCAGAAAAAGAGAACAGTCTGCCCTAACCGGGAACACACAACACAGAAAAAACATCTGCCAACTGTGTGTTTTGTGGTGCTTTTCACAGGTGATGGTCATGCTGCTCTTCCCTGTGCAGCTGCTGGCAGTGGCTGTCACTGTTTACCTAGAGCTGGTGAGGTCTGCTCAAGGTGGTGCCTACTATGGGATCAAGCAGCTGCCACCTCAGGTGCCCCAGTACCAACCCCTCGGACAACAAGTACCTCACATGCCGCTGGGCAAAGAAGGCATCCCGATGCAGCACCTGGGCAAGGAGGTGCCCCACATGCCCTATGGGAAGGAGTACCCCCATCTGCCCCAGTACAGGAAGGAGGTCCCGCAGATGCCCATGCTCGGCAAGGATATGGCTCCCAAGAAAGAGAAAGGTAGGTCAGCATGTCCCCCCCCACCCCTGCACGGCCCCATCTGCAGTGCCAGAGCACTGTTTGCCCTGGGGAAATAGAACATTGGAGCAGGCTGCTGCTGCTGCTGCAGGCTGGGCACAGCACCCTTGTTCCCAAAGGACTCATACCTGGCCACGGGTGGACAAAACAGGTTCATGGGAGCTGTGGGGCAGCTCAGGGTCACCAGCACATGACCAGAGTCATCCTCTGGGCTGCAGCACAGCCTCTGAGCAGCCCTACCTGCAATGAGCCTGCAGCACACAGGTTTGCTCAGGTGCTGCTCAACTCTCAGAAAAGCCTTGTCATCCCACCTGTTTGCAGGAGACCCTCTGATGGGGTTCCAAATAATGGCCCAGAGTTCTGTCTGGATCTGCTCCCATTCTCACTGCAACCAGACATATGAACTAAGAGCCTGAATTTATGGGAACATCACCATTCTGACTGAATTTTTCCAGTCCCTGTGATTTTGAAGTTTGCAGATAAAAACACACAATTGTTCTTCAGACTCTGGAGTCCTCCTTCTGTATGGTATTTATGGGTGTAACAGAGACATTGAAAGTACAGAGGATCAATGCACAAGTCTGCACGTACAAGCACTTTCTCTATTCAGTAAAGGAACTTTGGACAGTAATAAGATATTTAAGAAAACAAGAAAAGTCCAAAATACAAAGGGTGCCCAGGAACACCCAGTGTCATAAAATCCTTGTGAGGACCACCAGGGTCTGTGCAACTGCAGACAAGCCGGGTAACTGAGGCTCCAGCTAACCACAGACTCCATTGACTTCAGAAGGAAATGGAAGATTCCAGGACCTATTTTTGGAGTGTCCAAATGGTCTTGTTTTGGAACAAGCACCATTGGCTGTAGTAAAATCAACCTATCTCATGAGCAGAAATTTTTGATGTGCGTAAAACACAGCACACGCAGAGAGCAAAGGTTTCTGCCTCCCAAAGAACAGTTAATTCTCTCGTCCTGAAATCTTATCTCCTGTCCTTCCCCAGATCTCTTACTTCTTTACACATTTTAGAGCTGGAAAGAGTTTCCACTTAACACAAAAAGCCTGCAGCTTGAAAAGCAACCAACCCCAGCAGCAACTTCCCCACCCTGACCTGCAGTGATAAATGGTCACATACACAAGAATGTGGGTTTGGACAATACAAACATTTTGCAAGATGTTTAGAAGAGCCATAATTAGACATGGCTATGCCAAAAGAGCAATAGTGATTTAAAGCTGCAGGTTTCCAGTAATACTCTAATAGGAATCAAAGCCTTGGGGAAAATACAGACATACCCTATGTATAAATTTCTTACCAATACAATCATTTTTAATTGATCTTGCTCATTTTAAGCCCCTCCAGAAAAAGCACTTTTATGTCAGGATTCCTCCCACAGCACGAGAGCACCAAGTTTCCTGCAAAAACTCTTAAAGGTAGATTGATCTACAGCAACACAGGAAAAAATGCAGATTTTGCTGTTTAAGTTTGTATAGGTGGAAAACACCACCAAAGCACAAATGGTTTTTACATATGATACACAGTAATTACGTTGTGGAAACAGAAGTATGCATGGAAGTATGGAGTATGAAAAACAGTAGTAACATCTTCTTCATTCTCAGCACCAACCTGTAACTCCGTAGGCTGTCTCTGTCTTCCACAAAACCATGAGGCATCATAAAAAGCATATTCAATCCAAAACTGCCTATTTTTTTAAGGATGTTATTGCAATCACATCTCTCCCTCTCTCTCTCCCCACCCCCTTTCTTTTCTTTCCGACACAGAAATTCCCATGCGCAGTCTGAGGGGTGAGCAAGGCCCCCCGGGTGAGCCTGGACCACGAGGGCCACCAGGGCCACCAGGATTACCAGGTCATGGTGTACCAGGAGCCAAAGGAAAACCAGGCCCACAAGGATACCCAGGAATTGGAAAGCCGGGTTTGCCAGGGATGCCAGGAAAGCCAGGGGTCATGGGGCCCCCAGGGCCAAGAGGGGAGATGGGGCCGAAGGGGGAGATTGGGCCCATGGGGATACCTGGACCGCAAGGACCACCAGGGCCTCATGGGCTTCCCGGCATAGGGAAAGCGGGCGCTCCGGGGCTGCAGGGGCAACCAGGGCCAAAGGGTGAGCCTGGGATGAAGGGGCCACCAGGAATCCCTGGGATCCCAGGGCCAAAGGGGGAGAAGGGGGTCGGGATCCCGGGTTTGCCGGGCCTAAAGGGTCCACCTGGGCTGCCTGGTCCCCCCGGCCCCGTGGGGCTGCCAGGGGTGGGCAAACCGGGCATGGTTGGCTTCCCCGGCCCACAGGGACCTCTGGGCAAACCCGGACCCCCAGGAGAATTAGGGCTGCAGGGGCCTCCAGGGGCCCCCGGGATCCAAGGCCCTCCTGGCCCTCCTGGCATCGGCAAGCCCGGCCAGGACGGCATGCCTGGCCAGCCCGGCTTCCCGGGCGGCAAAGGGGAGCAGGGATTGCCAGGCCTGCCGGGGCCCCCCGGCCTCCCCGGGGTTGGCAAGCCGGGCTTCCCCGGGCCCAAAGGGGAGCGAGGTGTGGGTGGTCTGCCTGGCCCCCTGGGGCCGAAGGGGGAGAAGGGGCACGCGGGGCCACCCG